CTCCCCAGGCATACAAAGATGCTTGCTGACACATTTTTCTTGGGGAAACAGTTGTGTGTTTTGTCAAATCAATTCTTAGGTTTGTTTTTAATGGAATCACAGAATTTGGATGCAGTGAGGGTAAGATGGCTGGGGCTGGGTGCACGGTGTTTGGTAGACAGGTGCCACATGCTCTCACACGTACGTGGAAGTTAGTTAAACCGTTGATGGCAGAGAGGAAAAGAGCAGGGCACCGGATGTGAGAGGCTGGGAAGGGGAGCGGGGCAGAGAGAGGGTTGTCAGAGTTTTGAAGGAGTCTGCGGCCCTGTGGCTCTGCTGTCGTATGGCAGGTCACTGCTGACCCTCTTCCCCGGTGAGTTCCCAGCGTGGGGGCCAGAGCCTCTCAGAACCTTCCGGCCTCTTCTCTTTCACTGTGCCCTCCAACTTTCTAATTTGCTGAAAAAAAAAAAAATCACTGGCCTCGTCCCAAGGGGCCCAGGGCTGGTTTCACTCCCATCAAGTCAGGGCTGTCTGCATCTCAACCCAGCCCTCCCGAATGGACTGTGATCCTCCAGCTACCCTACTCTTCCCTGCCCATCCCCGTGCTGCCCATCTGGCCTCCAAGCAGTCTGTTCTCCCATCTTTTCTCCTGTCTCCAGCTTATTTTCCTCACCGTGGCTAAAGTCTCCACAGAAAATGAAAATCTAGCCATACCCCACTCCACCATGTAAAAATTTTGAACAACTTCCTGCCATTAGCAAATTAAAGTCCCCGGTGAGGCCCCCTCCCCCCACATAAGACCTGCCTTTCCAGATAACACTTCTTGGCATCTGTCTTCAGCATATTCCTGGAGGGGAGACATTGCTTAATGACCTCCTTCTCTCTCAGAGGCCAGTTAGCGGCCATTCTTCCTTCCCTCTGTGTGTGTGTGTGTGTGTGTGTGTGTGTGTGTGTGTGTGATCCGTCCTGCACACAGCCTGGTGGAATGAGTATGGACACACTGACTTCCCCTGTGGCCACCAAGCGCCGCGAGCCAGGCTCTGGGCCATCATTTCTGATTCTTTGCCCAGGACTGAGTGGAGACATGGAATTCAGTATACAGTGGTTTGGCGGGGCAGTGCATAGAAAAAGAAACAGAAACTGGTCATCGCAGCGTGGGGGCTTGTGATATCGGCGAGGGGGACCTTCACCACACGCAGTCCCCACATGGCAACTCATTTTGCCCTTCTTGCGGCACTCAGTGGCAGATACCATCATCAGGTTTGTCACACGGGGGAGCTGAGGCACAGCTGAGCTCACCCATACCCTCCCTCTGTGGGGAGGCGTGACGTGGAAAGCCTCAGTGCTGGCCCTGAAGCACCTAGTCTAGGTCGTCTCTCCCTCCGGGCTTACAGCACTTTTTGTGGACGTAAGGGGTTCGTGTTGGTTTGGGGGTGCCTGTTTGCTTGTTTGGGGTTGTGTTCTGCCTGCGTGTTTTAGAGGCACAGCTGCTCTGGGCCATCCAGGGTGGCCTCACACCTGTGATCCCCTTGCCTGCTTCTCCGTGGTGGGGTTACAGGTGTGGTACTTGCTGGGCTTTGGTGGGAGCTCAGTTGTGTCATCTCAAGGGCTTATTACACAGCACGCCCCACCCCCACTTCTGAGCGCCCTGTTTGTCTAATTCCTGTCTTAGCTTCATATGGAACCACGAACCCCACGTCCTTGGTGACAGATGAGGACAGATGAGACAAGGTGCTGCTGAGGGCAAAGGATTCCCCACTTTCTGCTTTGGTTTTTGCTTTTCTGTAGAGCATGGTACGGGCAGATGGAAACCTTGTCCCCTGTCCCTCCACCACTTAGTAAGACACTAGGGATAAAGTGGTCTTAAGTCGTTGCCCATGGATTTGCAGTAGTTAAGGATGGCTCATCCACAGTTATCCTCGAATTCCAGCTGGAGACCCGTGTGCTGTGAAGGGCAGCCTGGCTGTTTTTGTTTGTTTGCTTGTTTGCCTAGTACTCAAACAAGCCCAGTCACTGAGTGAACTGGAAACCAGCAGTGTCCACGTGATAGAAACCCCCTTGCTGATTCTGAGAAGGCAGGAGTAGCTGCTAGGGAGCAGGTCAACCCTCTTTTCTTCCTTCCTACCATACAGACTTGACACACCCCCGTTGCTCACAGAAGGAGGTGAGAAGCCTCAAGCCTCAATGCTTCCTAGCTTATTTCATGACCTGCATCTCCTTTGGGGTAAATACGGCCGTAGTGCTATTAACCTACTTTGCGGTGTGACTGATTTTTATGGTAAAGGATCGGAGTTACAGAATGCAGAAGGAATGCAGTCTTGCTACCCTAGGGCAGGTTTGAAGGCTTAAGCCAGGCTGGAGAGTCAACATCCTGATGGTAGGGTTACAGCCACAAGAACTGTGGGTGTGTCCCACAGGCTCAGATCAAACCTGCTCCGCTGCCAATCTTCACTTTAAAAGTGTGGCATAGCATTTGTATAGCTTCTAATGCAATTCCTCCAGTAGAACATTTTCCAGCTACTCTTCAAATCCTTCACATATTTAGTCTCCCAGAATGTTATCTTGGTTAAAGGACTGTGTTTCACACTTAACAGCTATAGGGAGGCTATAAGCATGTTTAGTGCCCCGTAAACTTACGGTTTCCCCGTCTGCTCTGGACATGGCCCCATGCTGGGTTGCAGCTGCAGCTGTTTATTTTTCTCCATCTTTTTTCATCCATCCCGGAAGCTTCCTTAAGGACTTCTGGGTTTCAAGCACAAGTTTGAAGCTTCAGGGACTGGGATGGGCAGATTGAGTCCCCGACTTCAGGAGGCTTCCCGGTCCGGTGAGTGAAAGGTTACACTTAGGGTATCGCAGGCCAGAGCTGTTGGAGCCTCCAGCCCTAGGGTGCTGAAGTCTGATGGAGTAGGAGGGAGTTAGAGCATAGAGGAGGCAGATAAGCCCTAGGCTAAGAGGCTGGGCACATGGTGAAGATGGTTATGGTGTGAGCTGGAGGGGGAGGCCAGTCAGTAGAGCCGGGAGCCAGAACAGAGAAGTCCTATGCTTGCCAAGGGAGCTGAACACTTCTGCGTGCTCCGGGAGCCTAGGGGGATCTCTGAGAGTCAATTTTATTAGAAAATATAAACTCACAGGCAGAGAGACGAATAAGGAGCCTCGTGTTGTGATAGATGTGATCAGGGGCTGGAGATGTCTGGAGGGAGAGCAACACAGCAGGGGCCATGAATAAACTGGGGTGCTGACGGGGAAGGATACCAACTGTTGGGGTCCAGGGCGAGAGCATCCCCAGAGGTAGATGACTCAGGACCGCAGAGCCCAGGTCTCTTCTGAGTGCACACGTAGCAGGTCTGGAGCCCGGTGTGGCTGTCAGTCAGGAGGGCTTTCCAGGGATGGGCAATTTGCTGGGAGAAACATACTTGCTGTAGTGTTGGGACTGGGGTTCTCAGGGGCTCCCGAGCAGATTCCTATGAAAGCTCACTGGAGATTCGAGACGGCAGCTTACTGAATATCACCATAAGAACCTGTTAAGAAGGACAAAATAAGAATTAAGTAGAGAAAGGAAACTGTGACGCAAATTTACTTCGTTTGGGACTTGGAGGTGGCAGGCGACGTGGAGAGTGTTGTGCTGCTCTCTGCATTAATCCGGCGGTGGTTTAGGGGCTTTGCTTTTGAGAGGAAGTGGTGAGCATGTCCGAAGAAGGTTAGGGAAGTGCTTGATCTGGTCACCTTCCCTGCCGTATAGATGGACAAAGGCCCAGGCAGTTAAAGTAGTCAAGGTATGGAATCGGCCTAGGTGTCTCTCAACATGCGGTCCATGCACACAATGGAACATTATTCCAACTGAGAAAAAGAACAAGGTTAAATCATTTGCATAAAAGTGGATGGGACGGGAAAAGGTCATATTATCAAAAAGAAAGGTATATGTGTTTTATTTTATATGCGGAACCTAGCAAAAACCCACATTATGACGTGACGGGGGAAGGGTCTCAGGGAAGACAGGGTCAGAGGGAAACAGATGAAAGTAATGAAGGCTAAATAGGGTTAATATAAATTACACACTTGATGAAAAGTCACAAAATTCAACACTCATAAAGTGAATACATAACAATAAGAACTTTGAAAGGAGAGTAAGTCAGCAGGACCAGAGTTTCACATGACACCCACATGCTACCCACTGTGTAAGGTCATGCTGGTGAGGCCTTCGGAGGCCCTTAGAGGAGCTTTTTCCCTCACATTCATACATGCTCTTCAGAGACCTTCTGGAAAGTATAAAAACCCCCAGCGAAGGGGAAATCCAGCCAAACCACAAGAATGAGCGTTAATACCTCCATGTGATTTGCTTTAGGCTTTTTTGGGTTCATCTCCATGCATTATGCTGTACAGAAAATTGAATGTTGGGTTTTAAAATGGAGGCATGACTTGAGTGAGTGTGGGAAATTTCTTCCGAGTGGAGACAGATGTACAAAGGCTGAGCGTGAGTCCCCTGGTCCCCTTTCCCCACGGGGACTGATGCAGATGTAGATGGTCAGACCCCTTCTAGGTCGACTCATGTACTTTTATCAGTTAGCTACAGTATCTAGTGAAATGTGAGGGTCGCGTCAACAGTTCTCAGTGTCCTGGAGACTGATAACGTCCTAAATGCCATGTATCATCAACACAGAAGCACATTTTTTTTTCAAGTCCTTTAGCACGGCGATTGATTGTAGAAGTGACTCCTGTGGGTGTGGGTGCTGGCTGTAGTCTACCTTGATTGTAAATATATTCTTACAGGATTCACGTGTAATATGAGACTAGACATGCATTTGGGGAAAGATGCTAGAAGTGCTTTAAATCTCAAGTTCTCAAGTGTGTCCTCCATTCTGTCACACACACTCCAGCTTTCTAACCAGAAGCCCAGCATAGCCTGGAATGGTGAAGAAGGCTCTTCTATGTGACCTAGTATGGGTGAGGACAGGTGGGGCTCAGGGCCTTGAGACATTTTCTGGGTTAATAACACCCCACCTTTCTTCCTTCCATTTTTCCAGGAGAATATGAAAGTGCTACTTGGGCTCCTTTGTTTCATCGCCCCTCTGCTGTCACTGGAGACTGGTAAGTCAGATGCTTCCTCTGCTCTGCTCTACAGATGATGGAGATCACATGACAGTGTTCCTCTGTCAGAGTCACTTTCTTTCCGTTTTCAGTTACATGTAGGACATGGAGTCCCCTGGCCCCAGAAGTGTCCAATAGAAGGTCTTTATCCTCATCTTCAGCTCTCATTCTATGCCTGGTATTTTGTGAAATTGAGGCTATTGGCATTAAGAGCTCAGCGTCATGTCTCTAGATTTGGAATGGATCTGGTCCAGACCTCCTGCCACCTCTCTGCTGATGGCGGGGGGGTGTAACACCCGCTTATCCTGGGATAGGTATCAAGCCTCTTTTATGGGCCCATAGCTGCTGTTTCTATTCTCTTCCAGCTTCTTCATTTTCTCTTTCTCTTCTTCATTTCTTGCCATGAACTCATCGAGCCTTGACAGTGTGTCAGCTGATAGGAACTGAATGATCCTTACAGAAGTACTGATGGCAGGCTACATTCCTAATGGGAGAGACAGAATACATTACATAAGTCATGTAGAAGGGTAGGTGAGGTAGGCAGAAACTCTAGGAAAACAAGAAATATTTGGAGATGGGAGTAGAGAAAAATATCTTAAAAAAATAACTGGTACATTTAGAGTAGAACCTAAAAGGGGAGAAAAAGAAGCTATGTAGATTCCAGGCCAGGGGAGGAAAGTGACCTTTGCAGAATGTGCAAAGGCCCAGAGGTTAAAAGTGCCAGGCATATTCTAGGGCATGGATACCTAGTCTATATAGAGAGACGAGAAGGGCCAGAACACAAAGTTATTTTGTTAATGGAGAGATGATAGAGGAATTGAGGAAAACCTTGACGGCTCTTTGAAGAATTTTGACTTGAGATGGCCTGAATTCTTTGTTCAAACAAGAGGGATAGAGGCCAGGAGGCTATGGAGGTAACTTCATGCTTCCTGAAAAGTGTGAGAATATGAGTTCAAATTTTTATCACCCGTATTAAAAGTCATGCACCACTGTGCATGAGCCTATAACTCCAGTGCTGCTGTGGGGGTCAAAGATGGGAGGATTGCTAGATGTGAAACCTGCAGCCTCCTCTACCACCACCATTACCACCATCACCTCCACCACCTCCTCCAACTTCTCCTCCTCCACCACCATCACCACCACCACCACCA